TATATATATATATATATATATATATATATATATAAGTCATATACCTTTTTTCTTTTATTACGGGTAAGAGAGTCAGATTAATACGTAGAAAAAGGAAGCGAATGCTATGGAGATGGAGACCGTCTCCCTTCTTCCCCAGTAATCTTTCAGCTAGCGAACTTGCTCTGATGACGCCTGAAAGAAGACTATTGATATCTCATTATGATACAATATGATCGATATGTTACGTTCGATACGACACGATCGCATCTGTGATTGAAGGGAATGTGCATGTAACTATTTTGATATCGAATCATAACCTCGAGTGCAACAATCATAAATTACATTATAAAAAGGCTCCTCAGATATGTTGTTTAGGATTGAAATTTTCTCGGTATATTTACTCTCGCACATGCTTAAACATTTGAAAGATTTTATCAAATATGTTTTCACACGTATGATAATTAACATATGAATATTATATATATATATATATAAATTAATGGAATAGAGCTGCTTTGTGCAGGGATGAAAGGTACTTCATCGGTCTTCTCTCTCTTCCTCTCATGTTGGAACACAAAATATCAGCTCTCCTGCAGCGTGTGTTTGTCGGTACCTTCGGCATTTCATGGTGGTTGGACGACTTTGGCGTCCATCTTCCTTAAATATTGTCTCTTCCGTTTTAGGTTTGGTGTGCAGTCACATTTCATGCGATCAGCCATCTGCATGAACAAGAGCGTGAGAGGAGGTAATTAAGGTCAAAGAAAGAGATTCGTGGCCGCCATAGCAGTAAAAGAATCATCACGTGGTGCAGAAACCCTAAACATGATGCAGAAAACATTCATTATTCTGTTGTGGGAGATCCAAAGCTCTGTGAGAGTATTAAGGTTGCTGAGTTCAGAAGCAGGAAGTCACAGAAACCCCATGCATTGGTTCCGTTCTTTACAGTGAAAGCTCCGCAGATCATGCTCATAGTTGATCATCGATTATTAATCTTCTAACTCGCCACATCCTTGAGTTCCACATGGGACTACAGATCTCCTCTTACTAGGTAGTGAGTTGGATGAGATCTGTGAGCTAATTAAAAGCTCCTACATGTGGATCCCAAAAAAAGGTGGGTCTTATGGAGATTTAAAAGTATAGGAGTAGTCAACTTTGTTGGCTAGCTGATAAGAACATGTATCACTAAAGAAATGATAAGACCACCCAACTTTGATCTGCCATTTTGGTTTTGGGTTGTGACATAGAATAAGCTGTCTATTCTGCACAGATGATATAAAGATGATTTATCTGAATGTGAGTTGGTGAATAGTCAAATCTAAATTGTCATGGGCACAGATAAGGGTTGTCTTACATAGTCAGCTTGATGTACTTACGATGATAAGGAAATACCATATGTATAGTAGAAGATATCAAGCTTATGGATTCCAACTCATTATATCACAAGATCCAAGAATTGAGATCTAATTTACCCATGTGGTTAGAGTGCAAATTAACAAGTGCCCACCACCACACCACACCTCACCTAGCTTGGCATGTGGGGTGGGGATGGTCTCTTCCTCCTGGTGGGAAGAAACCCTAACGAGAAGAGACCCACATGGAGACCGGAGGGGGTGAGAAATAAAGAAGAGAAATTGGAGCAGGCAGGCCAGGGTAGTAAATAAATAAATAAATAAATAAATAAATACTCTGATTTGTCTTTCTGACTTGTGAATTCTCCTTGGAAGAGACATGTGCGAGGGAGATGGAGTAGCATTATATATCCATGTTGATCATTACCGAGAGAATATGGATTAGTCCTCCATGTTGTTTCTGCAACTGTTCAGAGTAGAAGATATCAAGCTGATGGTCAAAGAAAATGTCACTCCTTGATTAAATTCAATGGAAAAACCAAGATCCATCAAATTCTGCTGGAATACTTGGAGGTTAAGCAAGCAGATTATTTTACATGGAATTGTTATTTTTTGATCAAAAGAAGGATCAAACTCTTTCCTGGTGCTTGATTTGAGGTCCAAATTCAATTAATCATCTGGTTTTGGTGTCCAAATGCAGCAGCATCAATCAGTACATTTTTTAGTGTATATTACAACATATTGGTAGCTTTCATCACCGTGGTTGGAGATCATTATTTTTAGCTCTCAGAGACCTTAGTCGCAGATTAGCTACTCTCGGAACGTTGGCTCTTGGAGTGGTGGTTGGGCCTGCTGCTTGCTTAGCCAATGGAAGCAGCTGGTGATCAGTTTCGAGACATATCCTTGGGTGCTGCAGATTCTTCCGAAGAGGAACACAGGAAAGCAGCACGAAGGTCTGATACTTGGAGATTAAAAGTTTCGATGGCAAAATAACTAACTTTGTGCATTACATCTTGAATTGAAAATGAATTGATGAAATCTTCATCAGCATGCATGCAATCTTTGATGGCTAATTTTGATCTGTCCCTGCACACAACTTTGAAAATGCATCAGTCTGACAAATATGAGTTGAAAAGTGGTTGAGATATATCTGAAATGAAAAGGGTTCATGGATTATAAGCGAATAAATGCATCTATCATGATCCATTGCAGATAACCTAAAAGAGTTGACATCTGCTGTGTGGCACAAGGTTGGGTCAGACATCCATCTTGAGAGGCTTCCTCGTTACAGATTTGGAATCTCACAATGTAAACTCTTTCATCTTATTGCACCCTTTAATCAGATCATCTATAGCAACATGGAAGAACCGTATCTCTTAATTTTATGGAAGGTTATGATGTACATAGATAGTGTTTGTTACCTCTTGAGTTTATTTTTGTGACTTAAACATTGATTTCTCGAACTATAAATGAACAACCTTTCGATCGTATCAAGCTTCGCCCACGAACTTTAATTATGATCTTATATTTTTCTCAAATATAAGATATTTATGATCGTAGAAGATAGATGGGTCAGACGTCTATCTTAATAGGCTTCCTCGTTACAGATTTGGATCTCACAATATAAACTCTTTCTCTTAATTCTATGGAAGGTTGGTGGTGTACATAGATAGTGTTGTTACCTCTTTTTAAGTTTATTTTATTGTGAGGTTATTTTTGAACTTAAATATTTGATTTCTCGTACTACAAACGAGCAACCCTTTGGATCGTATCTAAAGACCCACAAACATTTCCTCTATTTTTTAATCATTAATATATTTTAGTTTTACGAAACCTAAATCTCTTAGTCTTTTGTCTCACTATGTTCCAAGGTCAACAGAATATATATATATATATATATATATATATATATAAGAACATGATGCTCTGAACGATGTAACAGGACAATTTATTTCTAATATAACTTGTCAAATCATCTTCTTATACAAATATAAAAAATCAATTTAATATTATAGAAAAACTAATCCATGAAAGCAGATGCGTCTTTTTCTCATCAAGCAATATATTATAAATTTCACCAATTACATTCGAGAAACCATTAAGAATTTCCTGTGATGAATATGACTTTTTTTTAACGTGGGCAGCTTATTCGAGCACAACAGAGAACAAAAAATTGTAGGCCAATTGACTTGATTTCTTCCATGAGTAGGTGACCAATGCACGCACAGGAGGAGATGCCTCCTCCCTATTACAGGACTCTAAACTAACGTGCCTTTCTTACTCGAGAGAGAGAAGACCCAAATGAACAGTTTACAGTTGAAAACAGTATTTAACTTTCCTGAAATGTAACCAAATGCAAGAAGGTTGAGATGATTAACAAACTTCTGGTCGAAGACTGTAGAGAAAGGAAAAAGGAGGCTTTACAAAAATGAAAAGTTGGGATATTTTGTCATGGTGGGGGTTCCTTATGTTCCCAGCATTGATAATTGAATTAATCGTCTTCGTCCGGATCAAAATCCTTGATCTTCACATCGGCATCTTCACCGTACTGGATGCAGTTGTCAATGCACGATAATACATACTGAATGCTGCATAAAAGAAAAAAGAATAGAAAAAGGTTAGTGTTTTTAAGGTTGGCTCAAGCCTGAACAATTATCAGCAGGAGGCAGGTCTGATCATCAGCAGGAAGTGGTGGCTAAGGATGCAAATAAAATCGATAGCTAATAGCACGATCAAATAAATTTGGACCCAGGGATGCGCAAATGCAGGTGAAGAATCCAATAGCAAGCTCGACAGCACATTGAAAACAGGAGCAAACAATTTGCTTGATCACCAAATTTGAAAAAGAAACTCTCAAAATCATAACGATGGCTGCCAAGCAGCAAAAAAATCCACAAGCACTTCAAATATCGATTGTGTATAAAACCACAGTTACCTCAATACTCTCAAATATAAGAAACTGCTGGGTCTTTACTAGGATGTTTGTTTACCTGCTCTCCTTCCTTAAGTCGAGGGGTATAAAGTTGACCATGCTGTAGTCATCAATCTAAGAAAAGAACAAAGATTATAACAATTGCATAAACCGATAAGAAAGTTATGAATAGACTGAAGGCACTATTTCAACACCAAAGTAAAATTTATTTGATCATTACAAAGCTAAATCATTTGCATTCTAAAACCAAGTTCCAGTGTCTTAATTCATACACTAGTCATGTTTTTCTAACAATTCATGTCACGCATCAGATTACGCCAAAAAAATATTATATACCTAGCAACTCCAACTCCTTATTTATTTAAACACAACACAGACCAAAATCCTGCATCTCCCTTTCATTCTAACTTGCATTTATTTGTACTGGTTTGTAGAGGCTTGCATTAATTGACAAGACTGGGCCCCATATTTCCTATATTAGAAAATGTAGTAAACATTACAAAAGAATCTCGATAATACAGACCCACCAAAACCGGAAGATTTATAAACATATAACTAATTGATGTCAAATATATGTTGCTTTTACTCGTACCAGTTCTGCCAAAGCTTTATTCAGGTTTGCAAACCGAGGAGCCATGTGCTTATTCAACTCAGACAGCAGAATCTTTGCCTCTGGATTTAAGTAACTAAATCAAATGAACAAGAAGTAAGAACCACAAGTAACAACAGTAAAAAACAATACAACTAAAGCATAGATGAATAATAACCCACTTCTCAACATCCTTTTTATCTGTCACCAAGTCCATTTTTGAAAGAATGTTGACATGAGGTAGTTCAAGCTGAACCATCGCAGAAAGAGATGCCAGGCAACCACTTATATACTTCGGCACATCTGTCATGAACTGAAAAATGTAACAAATACAATTAAATAAATGTTCACCAGTTTGAATGAAAGACTTTGAAGTTTGAACCTTACTAAGATAACTCGGGACAAACCTGTGAATCAAGCAAGTATACAGCACAGACATTGAAATTCTTGCGCTTTAGATGGTCCACAAAGTTCCGCAGAACAGGAACATGTGTAAAGAGTTCAATCTGACCTGGAGATCATAAAGTGACTATAAGCGGCAACCAAAAGTTGTAAATATGTTCCATCCTACTGGGCATGGATTCAATAATAACGGACAGGTAACTTAGACTGGTTATAGATATTAATGCAATTCCCATTTCGTAAGTTATTCGACCAGTACAATATACCATTTTTTGAGCTGTATAGCTAGATAATAATCACTATTTTTTTTTATTTTTTGATGATATCCGACTATACAGATTAGTATCCTATACCACCTCATATACTGGTACTGTATTGGTCCGTTAAGTTACCGGAACCAAGATTGGACCGGTATTTAGAACTCTAATGGCGCACAAATACAAACTGAAATTCCATAAAATTTGAATGTGTTTGATATAGACAATATATGTTACCGGAACCAAGATTAGTTAGATAATAATAATTACTATTCTTTTTTTAAATTTTTTGATGATATCCGACTATACAGATTAGTATCGTATACCACCTCGTATACTGGTACTGTATTGGTCCGTTAAGTTACCGGAACCAAGATTGGACCGGTATTTAGAACTCTAATGGTGCACAAATACAAACTGAAATTCCATAAAATTTGAATGTGTTTGATATAGACAATATATGTGCAAATCCAAGGGCTATCAATTTTATAATGGTTGATAAAATAATATTTTGTAATTCTTGCAAATATACCATTGTCTTTAGTAGCTAGTGTGATTTGTGTTCACTCAACAACAGTATGATGTTACCACTCATTTACAGACCAAAATATTTAAGACTATAATATCTTAACTTACACTTTTGGCTTAATAGAAACATGAATTCAAGATTTTCTGCAGCATTTAGCCATACCTATGTCATACTCAGGATGCACTTGGCCATGGGAACTCTCCTATTATCACTTCCCGATACCAGGCTTTGGGATACCAAACCACGATTGGGCAATCGATGGTGGCCCTATCAATTAGCCCAAACAATAAATTACGTGAAACCTGGAGTACATAGCGCAGGTTTATTCTAAAACTTGAGCAGGCCACACACAGGGAGAAGGTGGTTTACTGATTGTTTATTTCTAAACCTCACAGTCACTTCTTCTGATTTCCTTTAAAATAAATAGGAAGGCAAGATTCAAACATATGATACTAGTTCAAGTTTTCCTTTCTCTTAAAGATTTTCAAGTTAGTTGTCATTTTTTAAAAAAAGTATTATTTAAGCTTCTAGTATTGCACCTTTGCAACCAAGGTGACTAGACTTTAAGTGTGAAAGCAGCCTCTCCGAGAAATAGGGTTGCACAAATTGGACCTTCCTAGACCTCATATTGGCAAGAGCCTTATGTATAGAGTTCGTCATATTATATTTTGAATTAACATTAAATGGTATACATGATAAAACTATGTTAATACTAAATCCATCTCAAACTAGATTAGTTTGATGTCTGACTTTGATCTTTGGCAAAGTTCTAGGTCTACCTTTATCAACTTACAAACACGATTTATGGGAACAATTACGTCTAATGTTCAAATATTGTTAAACTGCAAAATAGACTCGATAACAGAGACATACAATGTATATATATACATATACAAATGTTCTCTATGGATGAGAAATATACAAACCAAAGATGATGGGCTTTATGGGACTAAATACTTATGATCCATGAAGATTACATTCCTTTGCCAGCAGGTATCATTTAAATTCTACAGCACTGTACTGTAATAGATCCCTAATGCACATAAAGTAAACTGTTTTACAATCCTAAGGAAGATAAGTAATTTGTTGCTTTTGTTGTTAAAGTTTGAAAGACCAATTTTTACCCATAATATCAGTTAAATTTGTATCTTTTTAGTACCAACAAACCATTTATGCAACCCTTGAGAAAAAATTGTCTTTAAACGGTTTTTGCTTTAGCATCTAACTATAATTGTTAAAATTAGAAAAATAATAATTATTTAAAACTATGTGCTGGCATCGAGATAAGCATAAACAACCACAATTTGAACTAAATAAAGTTAAGAACTCCATGATAAATTTGGAGTAGGCTGGAAGTGTGATAAGGTACCACTTGCATGCCACGATACTAGTTTCTCCTGTTATCATGATTGTTTAATCCATGATGCAGGCAGCACTATGCTAATGGCTAATGGGCATATGGTGGCACACAAAACTCTAACTTGGTTTTGCATCTTTGGGTAAAATTTAGCTAATGGCTAATCACTAACGTTTCACATGAATATCCATCATGGTAAAAATTAATTTATCCAATAACATCAATCGGAAGCATACTTGGTTTCTCCTTCTTATCATATACAAAGTCTCTCTAAAGCATAATATGTTTTATCTCAGTAATATTACCTGGACAATCAAACACAAGATAGTCATCATCCAAATAGTTGTCCAGTTCAACTGTCAACCAATCATCCAGGCTATCTTCTAGGTGCCTGAAAATACTTTAAGGAAATTCAAAATAAAACAAGAACAGAATGCAGCCTTCACAATAATGTTGCAGGTTCCTACCCAAATAATAAGATGATTATGAAGGAAAAAAGCAAGTTCTTCAAGCCATAACCAAGATCTCCACATCTACAAATCTAGTGTAGAATAGGATGCCCTAAAGTTTGTTTATCAAGAAGAAAAAATCTTTAAAAAAAGGCATGATGTCACAAAGACATAAATTCAAAAAATTCAACCACATAAGAATTTTCAACACCATGAAAGACCAATGGATTTGTCATGAAACCACAAAAGCAGCTATTCAAAACCAACATTTGCAATTCCAAAAAGTAGTATAACCGCAATGTGAGTGAAATTTCTTCACATGCCCCTTGTAAGTCAGATGATATTTCCAAATCTAAGTGTTTAGAACTGCAGTTTTCAAATCACAATAGGATAAATGCTATTATCAGCATGACACAATGAAAGAAAAAAATCTAAAAATAGCATGTACAGTTTGGAAAATAAAACATGCATTATCTTTAGCATATATGATAAGGTAAACGTATGACCATTCCAAATTTCACTAGACAGTATATGATAGTTTCTTTGCCTATCATTATATTAGTTTGAAGAGCCTAAACTATACAAACTAAGACTGAACACAGCAGCCTCAAGGAAGTTATAGTATAAAGGAAATAATTATACAAATCAAAGAAGTCAGAGTAGTAAACTAATCATTGGTCTCAGATTGCAATAGAACTCTTAAGGACACTATGAACTACCGTAGGAGATTCAAACACATAGAACAAGCTGACGGAAACAAAGCTGATAGATGATGAAGCATGAAGATCAGGTTCTTCAAGTCACATGGAAGATGGGAAAATTATTTACTAGAAAAATATAAAGTCCATAGTATGGGTTGTAATGAGGTTTTTTATTAGGTGCTCCAGAGGTGGACTTTGTTATCATTCATAGTCCCATACATATATAATTCAGACGACTAGCAACACATTGATGTTTCCGCCATAATCAGACTCAATGTGTGAAACCAATGCATGAAAAACCCCCAAAAGTCAATCATACATGCATCTTGAATATACTTTGACAAGCAGAAAGCTTGGCAAAGCACAACACAAACCAATATGTCATAATCTACTCGGAGCAATTAGCAGTCTAAACCAAGTTATGGATATCTTATATATAAAAACATATGCATAATTCCCAGATATTTATTCCGTTTCAAGGTTCTGCAGAAAAAAATCATGCTTTTCTGATATTATTCTGTCTTCCATCAAAAAGCTTGGCATAATCCTTTGAGGAATTGTGCATTTATATTCATTTTCTTAACTAGTCATTTCAATTAGTCTTTCAGGTTAAAAATCATCCAATTTGGGATGCTTTAATCAAACAAGGACATTGTTAGAAGAGAAGGAAATTATGTGAAAGGATACTCCATGCAATAGATAAGCCCCCCATTCGGGCCCAATCCAAGTTCCTCCATGACATCATCCAAGGATATGAGCTCTCTTATATCTGCATTTCGATAATATGACATCACAAGTAAGTCAACCATTTCAAGTAGTAGAACCTGGAAGAGAAGGGAGAATAAAAGAACACAAACCCATAGCGACAGGATAGTCGAAATTTTCAGCTGCTGGGTCTAAATTCACTATATGCATAGTCCTTCTCACGGTCTCGCAGTGTTGATATAAGCTAGAACAGTAAGTTGACTGCAGTACAAAAGAAGGCACATCGAGAAGCAATGATCAGAGTAGCGATCAGCATGATTCAAGCACCAACAGGGAAACAAATTCTTCACCTTGCCGCTTCCGGCAGGTCCAATAACAAGCTGCGCGAAGCCCATCGCGGACGCTTACGACTATCCTATCGGCTACTTGTGCTCCAGCTATTGCTTTTGCTGACAACGACGACGAAGACAGACTCAGTAGAATCGGAAAAAGACGAGGACTGTGGCAGCATAACCGGCAATCCAGACAGCTGCGGCGTACATCAGGTTGAGAAAAACAGAGAGTTGCATGTGTGAGTCACCAACCAACACCTGAAACGATTCAAGGATAAAGAATCTCCAGAAAAAATTCGTGTTATCATGTTAAATCGATCGATTGCATGATAAATCACTCCCTACAAACATCAATACCCTAACTTTACGACGGGCGAAGGGCAAACCAAAAGAGATCAACAAAACAAATTAAGATAAGGAAGGAGACGAAAAGATAGCGAGATTGGGGAGGAGAGATTCTTCACCACCTGTCCTCCTCCGTCGCAGTCTCTCCCACCCGTACTAGCTTCTAGGGCAAACAACGCCACCGCAAGGGAAAAGGACCGAGCACGGAAGCATAAATATAGCGCTCCTCCACGACGCGGTAATAGGGACGACTTTGAGTACGAGCATACGTCTCACGCTCTCCAACACCTCCGCTCGTTAGGTCGACCGCGACCCAAATCGTGGTCTCAGTCAATCCGTATTATATTTGTTATAACATATTTCTTAGGACTTCCTTTTTCCATGGACCGTCGATAAGGTGATTCGATCTAATTATAATATTTTTATGCTATGTTATAAATATTTTAATACTATAATATAAAAATATGAACCATTCAAAATTGAACCGAATCGATCTACCCAGACATCCTCTGCTTCTGCGTGTGCCGCCTAATGTGCCCGTGATACGTTGATTGGATTGTGATTTTTGTGACCTGATGAAATCTAAGCCGTCCATCAGACAGTCGCTATCTCGAGGTTCATCTATTTGCAGACGAACATCCGCCGGAGAACAGCACGAGGGTTTCTTGCTTCAAATCTTTCCTCTCCTCTTCCTCGCGTTGCTGCTTGCCGTCTGTGCTTCGACCTCCGCGGCAATGCCAGAGAAGGAGAGTAATGAGAATTCGGCACCGCCGCCGCCGCAACATCGCGTGGCCACAATCGTCTCCAAGAAACGCGCCCGCCCCCCGAAGCACCACTAGACCGAACACAAGGCAGAATCCTCCCTCTCTAGCCTTTCCTCCATGTTCTCCAATAACAAAGCTGAAGATGCATGCTTTGCCATTTCACAGTTGATTTGATCCCTAAGCTCCGAGATCCTGAAGGAAGCCGTCAACCAGCAGAAGGAAATCCTCCAGGAAGCGGAGGAAGAGAACTTCACCCGCTCTCCGCCGTTGCCGTCGATCCGTCGGTCGCCTTGAATAACGACGCGGAAGACGTGGATGAATTCGATGGGTTCTCCGAGACCCAGAGTCGGTATGATGGCGGCGAAGTGAGTTATCTTCGTCTTAGTTTTTCGGATTTGATCGGCCGTTGTTTAGAGTTGGAGATCTGTGTTTCCTTTTAGGTGGAGATTGATGAGGAGGACGAGAAGGTTATGGCAGCATTCATGTCTACCAAGTCAGGACGCAGCTCACACTGGCGGACATCATCATTCAGAGGATCAAAGAGAAGGAAGCGGAGGTCACTTCTGGTCAGTTTAGTCTCCTTTGTTACTTGTGTGATTTTTCCTTGTTCACTTTATAATGTTCAGTGGTGGTTTTGGAATATGTTGAATTTACTGATACCTATCAAAACCCGGAAATTTGAAGTTACTATTTACATAGAAAGAAAGATGCTGTAGTTGCAGTCGGACTTGGAACAAAACAAATATTGATTGCTATGGTGCTCAATTTGTAACTGAAATTTAAAATCCAAGCTTAGTCCATCTTCTTCTTTTATATATAGTTTGCTATGGTGCTCAGTTGGCCTCAAATTGACTTGATCAAAGCAAGTTGGCGAGACTCATATGTTGCATACTTTGTCATTTACTTATTTATTCACATGATTTTTTTGCTGCAATCTAGGATGATAAATGGAATTATCATTTGGTTATTCTATAAATTCTTATCTTATTTGCCAGATTGTTACATGTTAATTTTTTCTTCTATTTTGTTAGGTACCTATTGGACATTTCCATGTAGTTAACATTGAAAAACTTAAATATTTCTTTCACTTCAATATCAAATCTTAGAAGATTATAAAACCAAAAGTCAAAATTTAGTCTGCCAACTTTATGCCAGTGCTCTTGGCATGGTATCCTCATCGGCATTTTGTTTTGGTAAAACATTGAAATTGCAGAGGTCTATTGAGTTTGGTACAAAGATATTTTTTTGCTGTGTGCAAATACCAATGTAAGTTGGTTTACTATGGGCCAGAACAGGGATCCTTGTTTGTGGGATGTGCCTTCTATAGCTGGCACAATAGTTACCTTTGTCCCACCATAGGAAAGGTCTTTTATCTGTAAAATTTCATGCTGGGTGGGTATATCTGCATGGATTGAACAAGATGGATGTGAAAAACATGGAGTCAAAGCGTGACACAAGAAGTGTTCCTGATTGACATTGGCAGCAGGGATCTTGGCTATCCTCTCTGTCTCTCTGTCTCTCTCTCTCTCTCTCTCTCTCTTGGAGTTATGACTTCAATGCTACGTGCTAGATGTTATTAATCATTTTTACTTATCATATATTGACAAAGTGATTTTATCCTAGTGGCATGTAACATTCAGTAGAGTTATTTGCTGTTTCATGTCTCTACAACATCCAATAGATGGATTTATGTCTTGTACCATTTTTATATCTTGTATCATTTTTATGATTTTTTTTTTCTTATGAATTTAAGATCTGAAATCTTTTCACTGCTTATGTTTTGTCACAGAACAACCTCTCCCTAAATTGGATAGTAGCATCATTGATCTGTATAAGGGGTATGTTTCAATCTTTCTCAATTTTCTTGTTGTTTCATCTTCCTGTACCTTATGTGATATGATGGTTGTATGATGTTTTAACTTTTAGGTTATACAGTGTAGGCAAGCTGCTCAGTAGGTATACCACTGGGTAAACTCCAAAGGCCTTCAAACACATCCCGGCCATAGAATTTTGGGAGGATGTATTGTATCTAACAGAACCAGAAAATTGGTCTCCAAATGCAATGTATCAAGCTACCAAAATATTCTCTTCTAACTTGAGTGTGAAAAAAGCCCAATGATTTTACAATCTTGTTGTTCTCTCACGAATCAGGGAGGATATAAGAAAGAATAAGAGTACATTTTGCTCTGTATCAGGCTCTAAGAAAGTCCGTCTATAAACCAGCTGCCTTCTTCAAGGGTGTTCTGTTATCACTTTGTCAGGTATGCACCTTTGGTTGCACAAATTTGATCAAGTTATATGTAGTCAGCAAATCATGTATGTTTGATTATTGGCAGTCGGGAACATGCACTCTTCAGGAAGCAGTTATCATTGGAAGCATTATTCAGAAAGTATCCATTCCTCCCCTTCATTCAACGTATAGTGCAATTAAAGAATCTAGTTGTTGGAGTGGCTTGCAACTTGGTGATTTCCTTGGTTGACAAACCTCTTCTATGGATGCACAAATTCATCATTGTCCACAGTGCAGCTCTCATGAAGCTGGCAGAACTGGATTACTGTGGCACTACTAGGTAAAATTAATCTAATCTTGTTACTCTTAACTCCAATTGAATTATTTTGGGTGGATGAGCAAATATTGGTTCCTTCGCTGTTTTAGTAATTACTTTTATGATTCTGGCATTTATTTGTTTACCACACATGATATATCCAACATCTATTTTTTTGTTTATTCTCTACCCTCTGAATGTATGTTAATATACCTAACCATACACTTTAGTGGTGTTGACAGGATTTAAAATACAAAGTAAGATTGTAAGTTACATGTCATGTCCTTTTGTCCAAATGCAGTTTAACTTGTTTGTTCTTATGAGAAAACTGAACAAAGATTTGCCTTCAAATTTAAAATATCTAACATATTTAATTCCTGTGTTGACTATGATAAATTGGCCAACTTTCAGCATTCTGTTAATGATCTCTTATTCATAATTTAGTTTTTTAAAGTAATATGCAACTGTGATGTCATAGATGAGTATGCTGAGTTTCTTCCTTGCTATTTTCTTGATATTGAATGCTTTGTCTGCAATAAGTATTTTCACAGTATGCCAATTCTTTGTCTGCAATGAGCCTGGTTGATGTATGTCATTGGCCATAGGACAATATAATGGAAAATAATTTTTCTTGTTGCTGCCAAATGCAACCTTGGTACATGGCTTTGTTGAGAACAGTGTCTTTTACCTTTTTAGGTCTATTTACATATTTTGTCTTGTACGCACTCATCTAAGAAGATCCTATAGATAAAAGTCTCCCTTCAGAATGATGTTGTCATTTCAGAATATCAAAAATTAGGTCCACCTTTCTTCCTCTGATAATTTGATGTGAGAAGGTTTTCATGGACTTGGATTTAATGAACTTCTATGAAAAGAAGGGGTAAGATGTGTGATAATGTTTCTTCTTTGTTAATGAAGTGATTTGTGCTGCTTTGTCTTTTGGTAGATGTAGTAGTGAACATTAGGCATTTAGCTTGAGCTATATGTGCATTGATTTAGTTGCCTATGTATATAAAGGAGGCATGATTATCTACAGTAGAACTTAATGCTGTCTATCAATTTAATTTGTTGCAGTTATTTTATTAATCCTTTTCTCGGCAAGAAATATGCATTACCATATCGAGTGCTGGATGTGGTAGTTGCACATTTCATGAGGTGCCTGGAGGATACAAGAATCATGCCTGTCATATGGCACCAATTAGTTCTTGCATTTGTGCAAAGGTAGTAACTCATTCAACCTGTGCTGACAAGTAGAACAATTATGTTTTATAGGACATGCTCTATGATTATGGTTTGTTATAACCATTTATTTAAAGTGCCTTTATGAGTAAGGGCGATACTCAACAGGTACAAAAATGAATTAAACAAGGATCATAAGGATGATCTTCAGCGGTTAATATAAAACCAGAAGCATCACTTGGTATGAAATTAGTACTTGTTGCAGTTTTTAAATGATTTTGAATTGAAGCATCTGCTGATTTCTCCTATTGTGATATTTACTTAGGTCACTCCTGAAATCTGTAGAAAATTGAAGAATAGCTGGAATCATGGGGAGGAGGATGATCCCATGGCTACATATATCCTTGTCAGTGTCGTTTTGATAAAATCTAGTTGGTTGCTTATACAATATTTCTGATGTCATTGTTTTCCTTCTACTTTCTCATGTATCTTGTTCGAATTATACGTTTCTTTTCAACTAGTCACTAGTTGGCTTTTATAGAACTTCACCTTTTGGGTCAGCTCTATAATTTACGAGCTGAAAACTATCAGTTAACCTTTTATGTGGTGGAAAATGGTTACACTTTTTCCAGTTGGGTTCTATTTTTATTATCTTTGGTTGTTTAACCCTAGACTTGAGATGTATCATCTTTTCGCCCACTGTGTGGCCATTACTACCTTGACTAGCCTTACCTTTACCTTTTTCTGTGATCAACAAACCAATTGAGGAGGACAGATGGGACTTCCCAGAAGTCCCAATGGTCGAAGATTAGGTAATTCCGTCTACTCTTGGCTCTAGCTTCAAACTTTGTTCATTGCTCTTCTGATTCATTTTTGCTTTTGCAATGTTACAGATGCCATAACCCCATGGGATCTTCCACTTATATACTTGGAACTGCTGCTGTAGAGCCAGTGTTTTGTGGTTATGTGAGAGTTGCAGCTCATTATTTGCCTCGAAGGCTGCTGCGATTGGTGTCCCAATGGATGATTTGGTTGAGCTAACATATAAAGGCCATAAATATATCAAAGCAATTGTTTGGGAGAGTCAATGGTGTGGTTATGTGATTCTTGTACAGCAGCGTTAAGAGGTCATACATCTGCGTGCCTTTTCCTGTTACCTATTATTGTTTATGGTTTCATTTAAGGCGTTAATTTTGTCATGGATTAATCTACTGATGATTTAATTAAAATGATGGATTCCTTTCCTGTCACCAAAAGAATTCTCGGATAAAAGGAGGGACTATTATTATTATTATCGTTATTTTTGTAATCTTATTATTGGCCCTATGCTCACTTAAAAATCATTGGGAGGAAATAATAATAATAATAATGTTTGAGCCTAATTGTTGGCAATTAGCAGACCAGCCGTCGCGAATCCGAATGGAGATCTTCTACCGTTCATATGTATCCTCGTGTCTACGCAGCAATACTTTTCTACCGTTGAGGCGTACTAATGTGTCTACCCGTGGAATGACCTGAGGTCAAGATGGGGCCCGACGCGTGGGAACCACCTTTCTCTCAAGGTTAGCTTGGGAGTTGGTGAACAGGCGAGTAAGAAAAGAAATTTTGGGATGAATATTCCGAGTGACGGCGAGACGGTGGAATCCAACGCCTCTCCACGGCATCTCCACCGAAATATTCGCAATTGTTTATTCTGACATAACAACCCTCGTCTTTTCAGAAAACACGCCATTCGTCTACCAGCAGGTTCGTTGCCTGCGTGTCTCTATCAGCAGCCTCGCATAAAATATTGGAGTGATAATACCAGCAATCCTCGTGAACAAGTACGGTTTACCTGCAGACTATTTTAAGCCACCGAACCATCCGGTAGACGAAGCGTTATATACCGTCCGATCTGGGAATCGAGACCTACTCGTTTCCGATCCTGACGCTTCGCGAAGTAACACACCCGACTCTTCGAGAATGAACTCAAATTGGGAACAATCGAAAGCGAAAACGGGGCGAGAAGGAAGGAGAGGGGCGAATGGGTGATGTACTGAGATGGAGGGTGCTTCCGATGCTGGTTTTGCTCGCCTCCTCCCTCGTTCTCTACGTCAGAATCCTCCCCAAGGTCCATCTCGCCACCACTCTCCTCCTTCCTTTTTCCTTGTTCCAGAATCAAGACAAGCTTGGCATTTTGTCGCAAACAGAGACACTAGGTGTCGCTGCATAACGTCTTTCTTTGCCTTTGGCTAATGTCTTTAAATTGACGTCTATTATTCTCATTTAATGAACTTAGATAGAAGTTCCTTATAAGAGATGGACGTTACTAGGTCTCGATTGTGTTTGTGGTAGAGAGAAACGACCAAATCTGTGCTTCCTTCAAATTTCCGACCATTGATTGATTGGAAAAATCAGCCGTTGAACCTTTTTAGTTTTCCTGTGTTACAGAAGTCAATCAGTGAATGTAGCCTTCTACCCTATGATCACTACTGGATAACCAGCAAGCGCATTGTTACACCTCAGGGTGTCATAAATGGTGCAGGTATGTTCTTTATGAAACAATAGCTTATGTGATTGAAATTTATGAAGAATTGCATTAGCTCCCGATTCGGTTCCCATATGCATGATTATGTGTGAACAGTGAATAGCTGCTATTAACTTCTACTTCTTTCTGAACTTTTCGATGGTCAGTGGAGGTAAGAGACGGGAAAATAGTCTCGGTGGTTGAATCAGACTATCAGAAGGGGTCGTTACTTGGAGGAAAGGTTGTGGATTATGGAAATGCAGTCATCATGCCTGGTCTGATTGATGTGTATGCAATCACACCTTTTATCAATTTATTACCTTGCTGATACATGAAAGCATAATTGTAACTTAAATTCTGATGTTTGGAGTCAGAATGCAAACTATTCTATTGTATCAGCAGATAGGTAACATGTAGTTAGATTACCACTGTTATCCTTGCTCTTGTTGGCTTTTCCCTTGGAATTGTCTTTCTGTATTTTTCCTAGGAGCAAAAGTTTGGCATTGCATATAGAAGTGACCAATTATGAATTTGCAATTTGGTAAATGAAAATAGCATAAAGTGCTAAAAGAGTGCTAAGCTCCAAAAGATGTGAATAGTACCTCTGTGTGCCTGTCTTGGTATTAATTATGAACATTTTATGCTGAATCATTTACTCTAATTTGATCTCATACTTCTATATTAGTGACTATCGGCTATTTACTGATCCCTGTAATTACAACAATGCACTATGAGCTTTTGCTGTGAACTTTTTTATGCTGGTCAATTGTCAATTTATGTACCAAGTTGACTTTTAGTGATGTACATTTCTCAAGTGTTTTAGGCGAAAACATCTGTTTATGATTGTTTAATACTTTTGAAAAATTAGATTTATGTCCCATCTTGTGATCTTCAGCATGCTAGGAATTTTTAATTTCATGTTGGCCAACAAAGTATAGTACTAATGTTGACTTAAATAGCACTTGGAACTGACATTTTTTTATTAGTGGTTTTGTTACTGAATCATGTGGCGATGAACCATGACTTATGTCAGATCATTCATAACATTTGGTGCAAGTTGATTTTGCAAAATATTTGATGCCCTGTTGATTCTTTTATGTATGACCATTTGCTTCTCTCTTGATACCTAGATATGCTTTTATAACTTTATCATTTTATCTAATGAATTTAGGACAACTTTTATAATTAATTTGGTGGATGTGCTTCTGTGCAACAGTCATGCACATCTTGATGAGCCTGGAAGAGTTGAATGGGAAGGATTCTCTTCAGGAACTAAAGCAGCTGCTGCAGGTACATAGCAAAAGTCTCTGTTGATCAAGATTCTATAATATCACATATAGATTGGCAATGACATACTTGAAATTAATGTAGGAGGTTAACTAACATGGAGATTGATGTTGTTGTAAGTATTGGATATAGGTGCACTGGAGTTAACATAAATCTCTGAAATTCTAGTCTATATATTCACAAGAATGCATCCTATGTGCAAAATTACTAATATCGTCACCAACTAAATCTTGTTATAGTCCACTTATTTACCAATAAAAGTATTGTATAACAGAAATACAGCCACAGACAAATATATAAAACCTTCTGCACTGTTTAGGCATAGCTATTTGAACCCATATTCTATGAAACCACCTTCAGGTAAACATCTATTTTGGTTGACTTGATTTTCATTAATTTTAAGCACTAAGAGTTAAACACTGGTACAGTTCATATTCCAGTATATTTTTCAGATTCTATTTGCCAACAAAGAAAAAGCAGAACATAATTAATCAGATGGATCACTGCAATCCAATCAGCCAGTAGGCCTATCATTTTCCTTTTCAATCATTGATATAATTAAATAGTTATACTCCCTAATGGACTTGGCTTGATTTCTAGTTTCTTGACTTCTAAATTCTGTTGTTATCTTGGCAAATTGGAGTAAAAGTTAATGATGTTAGACTGATATCTGGTTTCATCTTGACAATAATATCATATTAATTGATTTTACAGTAAGATATATTAACTTACTTGTTCTGATGGTTATACTCTTTTTCATATTATATTAATTTGATTGTGATCCAAAGGTTGACTGACTATATCAAGATTGTTCTCTTGATCCTTTGTGCTGCAGGTGGTGTAACAACACTGGTAGATATGCCTCTAAACAGTTTTCCTTCTACAGTTTCCGAAGAAACATTAAGAATGAAGGTCCAGTTTTTGATGATCTTGGTCTGCATCAATCTAGTATATTGTCAACCTATGACAGTATGACTAGTATTTTGTTCTGCATCAATCTATGTGATCAAAATTTTCTCACTTAGACAGTTCTTCTCTGCTAATTCATCAAATTCTGTACATCAATCAGGTTGAGGCTGCACAGAAGAAAATTTATGTGGATGTTGGTAGGTTTTGAATCATCCATGTAGAAGATTAAATCACAAAAATAATGTCTCAGTATAGCATTTTTCTTACTTTATAATTTCGAAAGAACTATATTTAAGGTTTTATTTGCTTTCTGCTTTGGAATATTTTACTGTTTCAATTGTCATCTCTAAGGCCCTTATGTTTATCATTTGTTTATTTGTTAATTTGTTGGCATGTAGGTTTTTGGGGAGGTTTAGTTCCACATAATGCCTTCAATACAAGTATGTTGGAGGGTCTCCTACATGCAGGTGCACTTGGTCTGAAGGTATCCAACAATGCTGCCACTTAAACGGTTTTCGGATTGATACTTGATGATGCAGCTTCCAAGGGCGTTTTACCAGCTACTCTGTTTCATATCCTTCATTAATTGATGATGACAGGTTATGAATTGGAAGAGCTAGAGTTGTTTATTTGGGACCACCTTAAATGAAATACTATACCATAATAGTTATGAATAAGATTTATGAGAAGTTTCCTAGTTCTCCCTTCTCCTACTCTTCTGAACCATCTTGAAATTATACTTGAATATATTAGCAAATTAATTCACACAAGCCCAAAAGCAGGCCTAAAGTTATCTGGCTGTTTAGTTTGTCAGATGAATGCATAATAATTTCAGAGACATGATTGCCGAATACAAAGAATTTACACTAGTATTATTCTTACAAGAAATTATTGCACTAATTGTAGATTTAGCAAGAAAAAGTGTGTTGCAATTCAGTAGTAAGGCAAGATGTATTTTGACTGTCTTAGAAATTGTTAACAAAGTCAGTATTATTCTTCATTCCTATTCAATGTTGGCAATTGACGATAAAGAAGAATAGTGGTTATGCTGTTGAAATTGTACTCAATTAAGAGACCATATAAATGATGGCATCTAATCAGCAATTTAGTATGAACTAAAATTCTGCAAGTATTTTGGTATAATTTAGAGTTTAGTCATTGCTAGTGGTAGAAATAGAATACTTGAAAATGAGTTTGAAATAGAATCGGACATCAAAATTCTGACTTTTCGTTTTTCTTTTTGCTTTGTGGAGTCTTTTATGTGCCCTTCAGGAATAAATGACTTCCCAATGACAAATTCAACACATATCAAGGTTTGATTCATAACCTTCTCTCTTTAAAAGTCATCCACTATAGTTATTTCATATCTTAAGAATTCCGATGTGCTTGCATTTTTAAATTACTTGGATAGTTGGTAACTTGATATGCTTCTGCTGATAATTTGACTAACCATTTAATAGCCATCTAAAACAATGTAAATTTAGTGCTTATTTATCTCTCAAATAAATCAATTATTAAATTTCTATGAAAACTTGAAATTTTTTTCCTGTATTCTAATGTTTTATAATTTATGCGTTAGTTTGCTCATACATTCTGACTTGGTTATTCAGTTCTAACTAACGTGGTTAACTACTTGTTTCCAGAACCTAGATTGATTGTTTTTGAATCACTTTTCTGCTTTTGGTCATAACTTCTTGACTCTGTTAGTGGAATTACTGATTAACATTAACAATTTTCATGGGTAGGAGATCCAGCTGGTCATTCTCATTCATAATGTAGATTTATGGAACATTATCATGACAGATGACTTTTACATAAATTAAGTTCAAGTTAGAAAAAATAATGTGCTTCTTAGTTTTAGTATTAGTATTCGTGCATCAAATTGTTGCTAGAGTTGGTTCTTTTTGCTGTAGGTGTGTACCTTGAGGCTCTTTAAAAAACCTGCAAGCTTGAGCCATAAATCTACCTGGATTGCTTTAATGTTTGGTTCGATAAAAAATAAATCTATAGGATACTATGAGCACAATTCAGGTCAAATGCATGGATCTCAAAGCCTTTTAACTCTTTTCGTATGATTTTTTACTTGAATTGGACACCTCTTCTCTAACGGCCATATCCATTGTTTATCATTGTGGAAAAGTGCCTAAGATGGAACATATAAAAACTTTGGCCGAGGTGTCACGGACTTAGCTGGTTTTGCCTAAGTCGTGCGGCACCTATGCATGTCCGTCCGTAAAGGTCAGCTTTCCCGAAACCTCCCATGGTCCCTTAGAACCTACAAAAGAGAAAACTGGTTAGAGAAAACACCTCACTCGGGATCCACAAGCAAACCTTTCAGGAAACACTTCATAGACAATGCAAATTATAAACAGACTTTACAAGCTCTGAACGGTTGCACAACAAACGGTTAAAATGGTCCACTACAGATTGAATATCTCTCATAAGTGTCCACATGACACAACCTTTATTTACAAGCCTAAGAAGACCACCAAACCCAATTAAAATGGGGCTGTTAAGCCTTTGATCGTCTCTCTACATGCTGTGCAAAGCATGAACAAATCAAAAGACACGGACATACATAAGTATTACATTAAACATCCTGTTTAGAACTTTGTCTGTGACATTCTCCCCCACTTATTCCTTCGACGTCCTCGTCGAAGCTTTTGCCAACACTGCAACTCCTCGCCTTTGCTGAGTCTTCAATCTTTTGCTCCAGCTGCAATGCGCCTTTTGGCTCTTAGCTGCTCTCCGCTGCTGTTTTTGAGTAGTTGAACTTTTGATCTGCTATGCTGCTTCAACTCGCCAATGACTCTGACTCTAGTGTGGGGTTGGCTGAGTTGTGCTGATCTCTGTTGGTTCCTGCAGATCCATTAGATGAAGGAAAAGACCATCCTTACTATGCGTCAGTCTCTCAAATGCTTTATGCTGCTTGAACTGGGTGGATGCTTGTTGGAGCTTTAACGAGCATCGCCTCGCAAACTTCTAAAGTTTTGGGTCATTCCTCCACAAAATTTGTCCATCGACTCTTTTTTTACTTAGTTGTCACTTCCAAGTAGATTCGCATCACTTCCACTTTCGATTGGCATTCTGTTGAGAAATGAAGCGAATAATCTACTCTCAGTAGCACTGATCACCATTGGTAAGGATTTGACAACTATTGTCATCTAATATCTTCGAAGGATCTTTGAACTTATGTAGGGCTCCTCTACTGGATAGATAAGAGAATTGGGGTACTCGATTTCACCCATTCTCTTAAGAGTTGAGAAGACAATTGTTACTTGACTTCGCCTGCCTCCTCAAGGGTTGTATTCCATGCATCGAGCTGGTTACTGACTTTCGCTTGCTCTTCTTTGCTCACACTTCTGAAGCACACGAAGTGTTTGCACTCATTGCATTGAGTTAGCTACTGTGATTCACCTTCTCAATGCCATCGAACTTCTAGAACGCAGAAAGTTTTTACCCCAACTTGGAGTAAGTCTCTAATAGTTTTGGTCGCCTCTGGGATTGTACCGTCTTCTCCATCAACCCTGCCGCCTACTCCACTGAGTAGCAAAGGTACAGTAGCACGTACTGCCTGCTTCGTTCCTTAGTCGTGCACTCTTGCATGACTCGAAGTTCTTCACTTTCAGCTATTTTGATGAGAAGCTCACTGACACCGGTCTTACGAAGTTCCTTGGTCTCTACCCTTCAGCCTTGTCTTGGTACTTGGAGTTTGCCTCTGCATGCTCCACCTTCTCGGCCCCTTTCACGACCAAGCGCTCTCCTTCTATGAGAGCAAGGGATCAATGACATTTACGGAAGTCTCGCCTCTGCAGTACCATGGCGTTGCCCATGGCCCATGGCCCTTCATGATCAGTAGATATGTCTCTATGACACTCCTCCGAGTCCACCTACATTCTAACTGATGCTTGATTTTGGGTAGTTAAGTCCCTCTGGGCTCATCGTCGCTTCCTCGCCCCTTTCGACCCCCTGCTTCAACACTTCTGTGTTCTCCAAGCAGTTCCCTTTGGTCGATGGAGAGACAGACTACAACTCCCATGCATGGCCTCTGTCATCATGTTGTAGGGTTTGCACCGATTCTGTTCTCCTTAGTTTCCTTAGTAGCAATGTTTGCTTACTCGACCTTGTCCTTTGACTTGTCAAGCTCCCTTAAGCGAATATAGGCTCTGGAGCAGTCCAACTCTCCAACTGCTTTGATGATACCTCTGTATGATCAAGTCCCTCCCATGGGACTCACTGGTACTTGCATTCGAACTTTTCCCTCGGTGGTACACATCCCCCATATACTGATGACCAAGGCTTTCATCCGATGCACGCACGGAAGACCCGCCTCTGTGGTACCATGGCCTTCACTCGAATCTATAGCCCTTCTTGCCGTCGTGTTATTCACCGAAGTGGAGCTCCCAGTAGCTCCTGATCATACCTCCGTATGATATAGTCCCTCACGGGATTATGTCGTGTGTATCGCATTGCCACGAACTGTTCCACCACGATCCGCTGCACCTTGTCGCCTCCTGGTGACATCTCCATTGCATTCTGATCCTTATGGGATGAACTCAAATTGTGATCCCTCCATGTGTGGCCTCTACCAATACATCGCAAGGTCTCTTCCACCTTCGATTTTATTCGCTCCTTTGGTAATCGACCTTCATCTACCCGCTCTTGGGTCACACTTAGATGAAGCACCGCTCTAGGACAGTCCGTCGCCTAGTAGCTCCCGAAGTCCACCAACTTCGCTGAAAATTGTGCACTATCGTCTGGATCCTAGGCCTCTGCCCCCACCAGCATAATTTTCGTTGCGCACCGCTTCCTTTATGGCAACTTTAATGGCAACACTATGGCATATTCTTCAAGAGCACTCACCTCCGCGTCTTCTTGCCCCGTGCCAAGGCCTTCTGAACCCAACTTCGCCTCTGCAATTTGAGTCGCCTTAGTTCCTCCATCAAATGCTTCTCCGAGATAAGGTGCATGTGCCCAGAAGCTCCCTTCGTCTTTGGCACCATGCAAGATAAGTCCGCTCTATCAGAATGAAGGACCCATGGAACAATATAGTCCTGCTCTTGCCTCTGCAAGAGTTCATGTCCTTGACCTCTATCCAAGGAAAGCTCTATGCCTCTGCTCCATGTTCCATCTTCTATGCCGGCTCACTTCATGCGGCTTAGGTACTTTGCCAAGTTACACCTAAGTTGCTCCGCTCCTCGTTTTTGCATTGAGTTGATGGTGGCCCTCGTGCTCATCATTCCACAGGTCAGCCCTCCCTTGAGTCTGATCTCCATATCGACTCAAAGTGTGCCTTCGTTTGTGTTGCTGCTTTGGGTCGCTCCCCCACTTGATCTCGTAATGCATCCACTAATGCATTCTCTCAAGCGAAAACATGCGACGACTCCTCGCCGCTCGCTCGGTCCATTGAGCTTCATGGAGTTGTTGTTTTTGAGGTATTACTCAACATGTGCGGTCTATTGCACGTGATTCTCCCTCTAGAGAGCTGGGACTTATCCATCCTGGATATCTATCCCGTTGGAGCAACATCTCTCTTCGTTTCCTTCTCTCTGAAAGTTTCGTAGACCACCATCCCCTTGGACTACTTCGATTTGCTGAACAAACTATGTATTGTTCTGCCTCCTGCAAACGCACTTGCTAGATTGCGACTCCACGTCAATACAGCCCCCGCTGCACCACTCAAGGCCTAGCAACATGCTGAACTCGCTGCACACTTCAGCCTCCTACGGACGTATCCTTTTCATGTCGAAGAGAAAGTTCCAATGCTCCATGGCGCCGAGTTTCGATCGCCTTGGGATGGCCGCGAACATTCCATCGTCCACATACAAGCCCTTGCATGAGTACCGAATTCTTCGAGTTAGCAATTCCCCTCACCTCTATGAGCTTTGCACAACTCTTTCGGTCATTGTGCAACTCATTCCACCTTGTATGGTCTCATCCTTTACCAAGCGCCTCGCTTGCCTTGAGCACCATTAAGTGTAGTTGTCAACGTCGAGCCGTAGCTCAAACTCAGCCATCCCAACCTTTGTGCGCTACGCATTCTTCCAAGCTTGCTTGTTCTCGTGGTGCCTCTTGCGCGAAGGGTTGGCCATTCCTCTGAATGTCAATCTTAGATGCTCGCTATTCCGAGCGACTCCTTTTCCCTAGGACAGTCAACACACACAACCCCGTTAGGTCCCCTGCATTTGCATGCCAAGTGTTTTTATGAGTGCTTGTCCCGCTCTGATACCATCTGTCACGGACTTAACTGGTTTTGCCTAAGTCGTGCGGCACCTATGCGTGTCCGTCCGCAAAGGTCAGCTTCCCCAAAACCTCCCATGGTTCCTTAGGACCTACAAAAGAGAAAACGTGTTAGAGAAAGCGCCTCACTCGGGATTCACAAGCAAACATTTCAGGAAACACTTCATAGACAATGCAAATTACAAACAGACTTTATAAGTTCTAAACGGTTACACAATAAAGGGTCAAAATGGTCCACTACAGACCGAATATCTCTCACAAGTGTCCACATGACACAACCTTTATTTACAAGCCTAAGAAGGCCACCAAACCCAACTAAAATGGGGCTGTTAAGCCTTCGATCGTCCCTTTACATGCTGTGCAAAGCATGAACAAACTAAAAGACACGGACATACATAAGTATTACATTAAACATCCTGTTTAGAACTTTGTCCGTGATAGAGGGTCGGTATGAGCTTCTTAGGAAGAGACATGGTAGCTCAACTAAGATTTGGGAGGCAAGCCATGAAAAGGAGGGGCTTATGTTAGACATGTTAACTGGTCATGTACCTGAAACAAGAAAGATGTGATGAAGAACTAATTGTGCAAACCTTTCTAAAGTAGCCTTTATCAAGTTAATTAAATATATAGTTATCTTTTTAGGCACACACATTTCCAATTGTCAAATTTGTTAATGTTCTTCTCTTCTAACATGGCAGAAAAACCAAATAATGGAGGAGGTCTTGTTTATGTTAGGTATGGATGGTAATGTTGAAGGACAAAGTTTGAAAGTTCATAGATATGAAATATTAAAAAGGAATGGAGTGTGTGAATAAAAGGTACCTTCAAACACTGTATACTTTGCTGTATCAAGATTCAGTAGCAATGTACTTGGAACTGACCCATCAAGTGAAAGAGAAATTTATCAGATACTTAGTAGGTGCATTCTACTAAAAAGAAGGTTGATATTCTTGTAAGAAGCCTTCAGTATCTAGGACTTATATAATTCTTTTAGAATTGTATCTTAATAAGACATATCAACTATGTAGGACTTTTGCTTTGACCAGTTACAGGATATAACTCTCCTACCGTGATTTTTTTCCAATTTGAGGAGAAAAGGACTCTCAAAGAAGAAAAAGAGAGATGAAAACAAGAATGAAGTAAACCATCACTAGATTAATTGCATAAAAAACAGTCTCCAGGAGTAACATCAAGGCTACACAGGTATTTATATTCAGAATTGTAGGAGATAAGCTGATATCATCATTCCACAAACTTATATTAATAATGAACTCTATAACAATCAAAATATGTTTCTAATAGGTAAAAATTGCCTATCTGTGTGATATAATTAATCTAAACACTAAATAATCTTAAGATCTCAGATGCCCAAGAATAGCTATTATGATTAAGGATGAAAATTCTGTCTGAAAATAATATTAAATAAAAATTCGTAATCTACTACCATTCTAAGTATAAATCAATCAAAATTCATCTAAAATCAGCCCTTCTTAATCCTCCTCGAAATCATTGTCAATGGATGTTGTTCTCTAAAATCAACCATATGAATGCAAAAACCAAAGGAAAATATTTATTTTATTTTGAGATTTTAACTTGTTAAGCTGACACCCATATGTTTATTTTGCTATGTTTTCTCATTTTTAATTTTTTCGTTACTTCTGTAGGAGGGTTTATATGTCTTGGCCAAGTTCAAGAGACCCTTGCTTGTGCATGCAGAGGTAGTTTTGGATTCCAAAAACAGTGAAGGACTTCTTGATGATGATCCCAGTTATCGGTCCTATGCAACATACCTTAAGTCCAGGCCACCATCATGGTAACCTACAGCATGCTTTTGTTTTGTAGAGGACACCATTTGCATTTAGAGCTGAATGCTGAAAAGAATATCATTAGCATTCTGAAGAGTTCACTAGTGTAAACTATAACAGTGAACTGTGTAACAGGTCTTGATCAATGCATCTAGAAATTGAATGTTAAATGTTTTGATTATGTTATGGTCTTTTGAAATGATATGGTCTGCCTCTGCCACATCCTCCTTTTCATTGTTTATGAAAAAGTGTTTTGTGGTCCTTGTCCATTATTTTTCCAAAGTCTGTATTCTTTACCTACCTCTTTATCTCCCTCCCTCCCTCCGACTTTCTATCTGATTCTGGAAAGATGATGGAGAGGACTTATTAATCATTGAAGAACCTTCTTCAGGGGCAAGAAACATATATATTGTTGGGAGAAAATTACATGATAATTTGTTTCTTTTGTTGAACATCATTTACTTTTGTCAATATCGTATGTTGATTTGTAAAACTTCATAACATGGTCTTGATGTCATGTCCACATCATTATATACCCAGTGGCCCATCTCATAGTACAGAATAAAAGTTGGTTAATACAAGCTAACATTAACTTAATCATCTTATATTAGAACCTTTATAGTGCAACAAACCTCCCCCTCGCCTCACCACACCATGCATGCCCCTTTTTCTCTATCTAGGTGTGTATGTATATGTATGTGTTTACTTTGGTGATATCCTCTCATATCTGGGCTTTTCTAACTTCCAAGCAAATCAATGTGCTGAATTTGTGGTCTCAATCCTTCGGAATCCGTTTCTGTCTTTGAGACATATCAATAATGACACTTCACTAGGTTCATCTATCCACTAGAAGCACATCATTTTAGTTCAAATTCATTATGGGAAATAAACCCTTCTTTCATAAGTCTTTTGCATGTTTGAGAGTAGAATTGAGATGAATACACCTAATTTGTAACATAAGTTGGTGACTTGTTTAGCTGCAATTTTCTTTTCAGGGAGGAAGCAGCTATTAAGGACTTGCTAGCAGTAGCACAGGATACAAAAACTGGAGGTCAAGCAGAAGGAGCTCATGTTCATATTGTTCATTTGTCAGATGCAAAAGCTTCACTAGATCTGATTGAGGTATATAAACATGTATATGTGCCACTTATTATCTTTTTTCCTTTCCTTTTTCTGGATTTAATTTGATCTCGAGCTATTGATTAAAGTTTGCTCTTAAATTATTCACATGTTGTAAAAATGTGTAATGCTGCACTTGAGTATCCTTCTTTCTAGTTTCAACCATATCAATCGTTATTATATACGAAGAATAATAGGGCTAATTGTTATGCATATCGCATACTATTGCGTAGTGCATGGGTTTGAAAGACTGCACATCTCAATGGACCTTCTCAAGTTGTTTTCAGATGCCCAATTTGAATGCATATCAGACATGCCGGAACAGATCGGACATGTCAATCCGGCCACTAAGAACTGCTAAGAGTGCTGGCACTGGAAATGGATATTGTCATCATGTCTTATACACTATTCTGAGTTTGTTTCATCCTTGCAAGACAATGCATTTGTTCATGCAAGTTTTCTATTTTTGAAACTATAATCAGCCCACTTTTCTGCATCTCATTTAATAGTTAAAATTCATTTTATACTCAAATGTGCCACCTTTTTTTTTATTCAGGATGAAAAAAGAAATGGACCAAATGGTGCTAGTATAAGTGTGGAAACTTGCCCTCATTATCTGGCATTTGCAGCTGAAGAAATTGCAGATGGGGATACTCGATTTAAATGTGCTCCACCTATACGAGATGTGACCAATAGGCAAAATCTGTGGGAGGCATTAATCGTATGTTAATTTTATGATGCAATTTTTGTTTCTAAGAGTTATTCTGTTACATGTTTTACAACTGGGTTTCAGGATGGACATATTGATATGTTGAGCTCTGATCATTCACCGTCTATACCAGAACTCAAGTTATTCGATGAAGGTGACTTTCTAAGGGCTTGGGGTGGAATATCATCTTTGCAGGTCAGTTAAGCATTCATTTCTAGATGCCAGGACATATGCATGTCTGTATCTAATCTGATTTATTTCTTTTTCAAACCTCATGTATGCTCTTATGCTGAAAAATACTTCAATCTATAGATATGTACACTAAATTCCTAACTACTTGTTTGGTCCAGCGATTTCAATAGGCGCTCGGGAGAGGCGAGGGAGGCGAGGCCCGAGTGCCTCGCTTTAAAGAGGTGTCGCTTGGGCGCTCGCCCGAGCCCAGGCGCCGAGCGCTTCGGGCGAGCGCCCGGGTTAAACCAGGCGATCAAACCAATGTTTTACGTCTAGTTCGGTCTCCGATGCTTTAGTTGTTCAATTAAACCAACTAAAGCACCGATATCAGCTTCCCAGCATCCCTCTCGCGACTTCCCCAACCCTAACCCTGCTCGCGATTTTGTTGTTGACATTTCCTCTCTGCTGTTGTTGCCTCTCTCCGCTATCGTTGCTGCCACTATCACCGCTCTGTCACGGACTTAGCTGGAATAGCCTAAGTCGTGAGGTACACTTGCGGCAAAGTCACGGACTTAGCTGGAGTTGCCTAAGTCGTGAAGCACCCTTGCGCCAACTCCTCGGACTTAGTTGGGATTGCCTAAGTCATGAGGCGCCCTTGCGACATATGTGTCCGCAAAAGGTCAGCCTAGTTGCAATCTCGTACAGGTCCCGAAGGACCTGTGAAACAGAAAGTTGATTAGTTATGGTTTGAAAGCAAACCACAACAAAAGTCTCAATGCATGACTTAATTATATGATTCATAAATCTTATGAAAGTGCTAGGAGCATTAGATAGCCCAAATGACATAATCAACCATTCATATAAGCCTTCTCTAGTTTTAAATGTTGTTTTTCACTCATCTCCGGGCCTCATTCTTATTTGGTGATAAACACTCCTCAAATCAATTTTAGAGAAAATAGAAGCACTACAGAATTGATCAAATAAATCATCTAACCTTGGAATAGGAAAACGATAATCCACTATGATTTTGTTGATGGTGCGGCTATCCACACACATTCTGTAAGAATCATCCTTCTTAGGCACCAACAAGGCTGGAACCGCACAAGGACTCATGCTCTTCCGAATTAATCCTTTTTTTACTAACTCATCCACTTGCCCTTGAAGTTCTTTATGCTCCTTAGGACTCATTCTATATATTGCTTTATTAGGTAGAATAGCCCTCGGAATAAGATCAATGTGATATTGGATCTCTCAAAGGTGGAAGGCCATGTGGAATCTCTTCTAGTACATATTGAAACTCCTCCAGGATTGGTTTCATGATTGCTGGTGTCTCCTTGTGTTGTTCATCCTCCTCTACTACCACTAGAGCCAAAACATGACCACCCCTGTCTAATTTACCTTTGCATTTACCATAGGATATAAAAATGCTAACATCCTTCTTTGGTGCACTGATTTTCGAAGGTTGTAATGGAGCTAAAATAATCTTCTTTTCATTCACTTTAAAAGAATAAGTATATTTGTAACCATCATAAAACAACCTTATATCATTATGTCAAGGTCTTCCCAACAGCAAATGACAAGCGTTCATAAGAGCAACATCACACCATATTTTTTATCTTTATAATACTTTCCAATAGAAAAGAAAACTAAATATCTTTTAGTTACCTTGATATCATTTTCTTTCTACAGCCAACATAATTGGTATAGATGTGAATGAGGGATTATGTCTAACTTTAGCTTCTGCACCATCTCCAAAGATATCACATTCTTAAAGAAGCCTCTATCGATGATCACCAAGCACACCTTGCCAAGAGAAGTGCATTTAGTGTGAAACACGTTCTTTCTCACTCAACTTTCATCCTCGACTACATAGGACACTTGTAAGCTACGTTGCAGTACAATAGACAAACCATGATCAGCATAAGTAACCTCTTCCTCATCATTATCATATTTTGGTTCGTCGTCGGCTTCATCTTCTCCTCCATCACTATGATCTTCAACCAAAGTTACAATCCTCCTATTTGGACAATCTGAAGCAATATGCCCAAAACCATGACATTTAAAGCATTTTCGGCCACTTTATCACAGACTTAGCTGGTTTTGCCTAAGTCGTGCGGCACCCCTGCGTGTCCATCCGCAAAGGTCAATCTCCCCGAAACCTCCTATGGTCTCTTAGGACCTAGAAAAGAGAAAACGGGTTAGAGAAAGCGCCTCACTCGGGATCCACAAGCAAACATCTCAGAAAACACTTCAAAACCAATGCAAATTACAAACATACTTTATAAGTTCTGAACGGTTACACAACAAAGGATTAAAATGGTCCACTACAGACCGAATATCTCTCACAAGTGTCCATATGACACCACCTTTATTTACAAGCCTAAAACGATTACCAAACCCAACTAAAATTGGGTTGTTAAGCCTTCGATCGTCCCTCTACATGCTGTGCAAAGCATGAACAAACCAAAATACACGGACATACATAAGTATTACATCAAACATTCTGTTTAGAATTTTGTCCGTGACATTCTCCCCCACTTATTCCTTCGACGTCCTCGTCGAAGCCTTTGCCGACACTACAACTCCTCGCCTTCGTTGAGTCTTTAATCTTTTGCTCCAATTGCAATACACCTCTTGGCTCTTAGTTGCTCTCCGCTGTTGTTGTTGAGTAGTCAAACTTTTGATCCACCATGCTGCTTCAACTCGCTAATGACGCTGACTCTAGTGTGGGGTTGGCTAAGTTGTGCTGATCCCTATTGGTTTCTACGGATCTATCAGATGAAGGCAGTGATTTAAAAAGCGCTAGGCGTTAAAAGGCGCTAAGGTCCTAAAACGCCCAAGGCGCTAGGCGCTTGCCCAGGCGCTCGCTCGAGCGAAGCGAGGCACTAAAATATAAAAATATATAATATAATTAATAAATATAATTATTTAAAAATTTAAATAAAAATATACTATTAAATTAAGAATAATATATTATTAATCTATTAACAGTATTGAAAATTAATAATTTCAAATAAACCTAACAATATTAACAGTATATAGAAGGAGAAGAAGGAAGAGTGTAAGGGGGTGCTGATTGAGAAAAGAGGAAGCGGCAGCGGCAACGGGAGTGTAAGGAGGCAGCGGCAGTGTAAGGAGGTAGCGGGAGGCAGCTGCAGTGGGAGTGTAAGGAGGCAGCGGGAGCAGGAGCGGCGAGCGCCAGCAGCAGCGGCTAGTAGCGACAGCAGCAACAGCGAGCAGTGGGCAGCGGGAGCAGGAGCGGCGAGCAACGGGAGCGGCGAGCGACGATAGCGGCGGCGGTTGCAAGCAGCGACAACGGCGAGCAGCGGGAGCGGGAGCGGTAGTGGCAACGAGCAGGGTTAGGGTTGGGCAGCGACAGCTGATATCGATTTTAGTTGGTTCGATTGAACCAACTAACCACTGGAGACCGAACCAGACCTAAAATCCTGGTTCGATCACCTGGTTTAACCCAGGTGCTCGCCCGAAGCGCCCAGCGCCTGGGCTCGAGCGAGCGCCCAAGCGGCGCCTCTTTGAAGCGCGCCGCCTGGAAGTGAAGCGAGGCGCTCGGGCCTCGCCTCACCTCGCCCAAGCGCCTAGGTGAGCGCCCGAGCGCCTTTTTAAATCACTAGATGAAGGAAAAGACCATCCTTATTATGCGTAGTCTCTCAAATGCCTCATGCTGCTTGAACTAGGTGGATGCTTGTTAGAGTTTTAACGAGCATCGCCTCACAAACTTCTGAAGTTTTGGGTCCTTCCTCCACAAAATTTGTCCATCGACTCTTCTTTCACTTAGTTGTCACTTCTAAGTAGATTCGAATCACTTCCGCTTTCGATTGACATTCTATTGGGAAATGAAGCAGATAATCTACTCTCAGTAGCACTGATCACCATTGGTGAGGATTTGACAACTATTGTCTTCCATTATCTTCGAAGGGTCTTTGAACCTGTGCAGAGCTCCTTTGCTGGATAGATAAGAGAATTGGGGTACTCGCTTTTGCCCATTCTCTTAAGAGTTGAGAAGACAATTGTTACTTGACTTCGCACGCCTCTACAAGGGTTGTACTTCATGCATCGAGCTAGTTACTGACCTTCGCTTGTTCTTTGCTCACACTTCTGAAGCACTCGTAGTGTTTGCACTTCTTGCATTGAGTTAACTACTATGATTCACCTTCTCAATGCTATCGAACTTTTGGAATGCAGGAAGTTTTTACCCCAACTTCTGGAATGTCATCGAACTTTTGGTCGCCTTTGGGATTGTACCGTCTTTTCAATCAACCCTGTCGCCTACTCCTCTGAGTAGCAAAGGTACAACACCGCGTACTGCCTGCTTCATTCCTTGGTTGTGCACTCTTACACACCCGACGTCCTTCACTTTCGGCTATCTTGATGAGAAGCTCGTTGACACCGGTCTTACGAAGTTCCTTGGCCTCTGCCCTTCAGCCTTGTCTCGATACTTGGAGTTTGCCTCTGCATGCTCCACCTCCTTGGCCCCTTTCACGACCAAGCGCTCTCCCTCCATGAGTGCCAGGGATCGATGACTTCACGGAAGTCCCGCCTCTGTGGTACCATGGCACTGCCATGCCCATGACCCTACTATCCATTACCTCGCATCTGCATCCCTTTTTTTCACAATCGGTAGATCTGCCTCTGTGGCACTCTTTCGAGTTCACCTCCATTCTAACCGATGCTTTGTTTTGAGTAGCTAAGTCCCTCTGGACTCGTCGTCGCTTCCTCACCCCTTTCGACCCCCTGCTTCAACACCTTTGTGTTCTCCAAGCAGTTCCCCTTTGTCGATGGAAAGACAGACTGCAACTCCCATGAATGGCCTCTAACATCATGTTGTAAGGTTTGCATCGATTCTGTTCTCCTTAGCTTCCTTGGTAGCAACGTTCGCTTACTCGACCTTGTCCTCTGACTTGTCGGGCACCCTTAAGCGAATATAGGCTCTGGAGCAGTCCAACTCTCTAGCTGTTTCGATCATACCTCTGCATGATCAAGTCCCTCCCATGGGACTCATTGGTACT